TAATGAGAAAATGCTTGTAGTCATGATGAACAAATTTTTATTCAATTTTTTTATTACTGAAAACAAAATTACAGTTCCGATTCGTAGCTCGAAATTAGCGTGGCTCGAATGGCCCGACATCAAAACGACATCGTTTTGATGTTTTTTTTTTTCTTTTTTCTTTTTTTCTATGTTTTTCTACAGATTTTTCTGATGAAAAAGAAGAAGAAGAAAATGAAGAAGAAGAAGAAGAAGAAAAAAAAATGCAGAGAAAACAGAGTATCTTCATCAACACATCATCAACAATATCTTCATCAACATCATCATCATCAACAATTTTTTTTTTTTGATGAACTAATCTTCAGATCCAGATCAAATCTAGATCAACTAAAAAAAAAAAATGTAGAGAAAACAGAGTATCTTCATCAACACATCATCAACAACATCTTCATCAACACATCATTAACAACATCTTCATCAACATCAACATCAACATCATCATCATCAACAATATTTCCCCCCCCCCTATCTTCAGATCCAGATCAACTAGAAAACAAAAAAAAAGAAAAAAAAAGTAGAGTTTGAAAGAGGCGATACCCACCGGCGCCGCCACCGGTAGAGAGAGAGACGCCACCTTCTCTTCATCCTCTCTTCCTTCTCTTCCTCCTCTCTTCTCTCTTCTCTCTTCTCTTCGCTCTCTCGCCTCTTCTCTCCTCTGTATGTGAAAGCAACTGAAGCAAGAAAATTATCCACCCAAAAAAATTGAAGCAAAAAAAAGAAAAAAAAAAAGAAGCCAAAACGATGTCATTTTAGCTATTCAAGTCACTATCGAGCCACATTTCTTGAGCTACAAAGAATTATTGACAAAATTATAAGTCTCATTTGTATTTATTAATGTGAATATTACTATTTTTATCTCTAGTGTTAAGGAAATTAGGTAAGGAATCCGACAACCTATAAAATTTTCAACAAAATTATGCAAATAATCTCTGAAATATACCACTAATTTCATTTTAATTCCTAATTTTTAATTTATTTCAATTAAATCTCTAAACTTCATAGACTAATCTAATATAGTCCATTTCATTAATTGTTATTTAGAAAATATATGAAAAATACTTAATCAACCTCACATCAAGATATAAAGGTATAGAGAACATTTTAATACATTTATTTATGTTAAATAATAAATACTACCAATTATATAGTCAAAAATGTTTTTTTTACTCTAAATCATGGTGTGAAAGGTTGATCTCGGACAATTGTTCAAATAATTATAGAGAGAATACTTGAGTGCCAAGATAAGTGAAGTTTTAAATTTGAATTTATAGAGAGACCTTAACTTGTATTATAATTTAACTGTTAATATATTAACCAACAAGGTAGTGAAAAAAAAAATGATATATAAGGTTTTTATATGTTTTGTTTTGTAAATTGAAAATCAGTCTAGCTAAAAGGATTGTATTTAGTTTTATGACCAATTTTTGTATTTTTATATGTTATGATGGAGTTAGATTGCCAAGTGTAATATGTAATAACAATTAACAGGCATGGAGTAAAACAGCCCAGAAATCCATGGTCAGATGGACCAGAATACATCACAAAGTGCCCTATTCAACCAGGAACAAACTTCACATACAAAGTCATATTCTCTGACGAGGAAGGAACCCTTTGGTGGCATGCCCACAGTGACTGGACTCAGAGCAGTGTCCATGGTGCCATTATCATCATGCCTGCACAAGGCACCACTTACCCATTTCCCCAACCAGACACAGAACAAGTTATAATACTCGGTACGCATTCATGTGCTCGTTCTTCATCAAACTCGTATGGGGTTTTTAAAATTTTCACACACCATACACTTGTATGTGCATAAATTATTCACTTGTGTTAGATTTTTAGTTGGGATTTTTACTTTGCCGATGCCAGGTAAGAGGAGCCAGCCTGCTTGTAAGGTGAGAAAGTAGTCCCTCACAGACCGATGTGAGATTTCCCGCACATTAGCCCCAGCCGCACTGGCTTCGATCACCCCGGAGGGAGTTCCCACAGATGGCGCCAAATAAAGACACCGGTCCCCGTGCCTTGCACATATTGTCCGCTTTGGCATTCCGACCGCACGGTTTTGTTCCTCCCCCACTGGGGGAAAAGGCCTATGCAAGGTAAGAGGAGCCGGCCTACTTATAAGGTGGGAAAGTAGTCCCTCACAGACCGATGTGGGATTTCCCGCACAACATATATGAATAATGATGCACAATCAATGGAACCCTCGAACCTAGTGAGTTGAGCAATCCTTTGTGTTTTCCCATTAGCTCCATTATTGTGATCGATTTCTTTCTTCCGTTCCCTTAACTCAATGAATCTTCCTTGTGCAATTCCTTTACTTACTTTGCTTTTGTACTTGCAGGAACTGGGTATACTTTTGATGTGAACAAACAGCTCCATTATGATCTCTTTGTGGGTGCAGACTTACCACGGCCAAGTTCTTTTGTTATCAACGGCCAACCAGGAGGAATCTTTAATTGTTCTAGCGGTATTTTCTTTAGTGTTTCTGTGGGAGTTTCACTAGAATAAATACTGCATTGACAAAACTAGAATAGCCTAATCACGATTAACCATTGATTCCGTTACAAAATAATGGTCTGTGCTGTGGAGTCTAATCTAAAAGACTGACCTATTGATAGTAAGCAATAGCAGTCTTGAAAACAAGGTTTTAAAAAGCAGCTGCAACCGTTACATAACGTGGTTACTGTCACCTATTACGGCCGCTATAGCAGTGTGACGAAAATTCACATGCGTAACAGCCATTTCAGTGTTACGTAATGGCTGTAGCGGTACCGTAATGACCCATTAGACACCGTTTCAAAATGTGGCATTACGTAACGGTTGGGGCAGTATGCACCACGCGTTACCTCCGCTTTTGCATTGTGATTGAGATTCACATGTGTGTCGGCCATAGCGGCTATCGTAGCGATCGTAACGGTGCTATAACGGCCTGTTACACACCATTACGTAATGGTTCCGAATTGTTTCTTTCGAAGAAAAAAAAAACAAAAAAAAAAGCTAAAAATGAGGGAAGAGTATAGAGAGAGAAGAGGGAAGATGAAAAGGGAAAATGGAGGAGTAAGAGATAGAAGAGGGAAGATTATGTTATTGATTTGTTAAACCTGTAAGACCTATGCTATTCTATTCGGCTGCTATCACTCAACTTTTTTATTTGTGTGTCTATCTATATATTGTTTGAAAATAATAATAATAAGTGTGGTCATTATCTATTTGACTTGATTAAAATATATATATATATTTAGACTCTTATTTATTCTCATACTTTTGTCATTATTTACCTTATATATAATAGTTAGTGATTGATTTTTTTATAAAATATACATGTCAATTTTTTTTGATTATTTTATTTTATTTTTATTTACAGGTTATCCAAAAATAGAATGAATATTCAAGTGATCCAAAAAACAAATTCTTTATAGCTTATTTTTTAATTTTTATATGATTAAATTAGCATGTATAATTTATTTTTTAAAACTATTCAAGTTAAAATTTGCATATGTTTCCACAAGTATAATAATTAAAAAAATTAATTTTATACATCTAAGTCTAATAATTTTTTTTCTTTGCCATAAGTGTAATATAAATTTATGACATATAAAGTCATTAATTATTAAAATAAAATGTAAAAAACTTAGTTTATAGTGATTTAAAAATATGAAATATATTGGATCATACGTAAAAATTTACAAAAATTGATTTATTTTAAAACCCAATAAATATGATTATGGGGAAAACAAAATCTGCATATTGGTAAGTTTTTTTTAAATTGTGCGAAAAATAAAAAATTCACGATTCTGATTACTGCAACTGTTACGCTACGACTTTTACATCCTGTAGTCGCAACCGCACCACTGTTACCATTACGGCGACTGCAACTGCTTTTTAGAACTTTGCTTGAGGATGACCAACTCCAAATGGTATCTTCATTCAGAAAACAAAAAAAAAAACAAAAAAAAAGGGGGTGTGGTTTTCAAGTTACCCATCCCCACATACTTTGACACTGTTGGATATTTCTTCACTAGAAAAATATTTGTGCCATAACTTTGTTGGGAATTCATGCCAACAGCAATTCTAGAGTTAAAATGCCCACTGGTGCTCCTTTGTTTTAGAATGATAGGAAACCATTGTTTGGAAATTGGACATGCTTTCGGACACATTTATAGTTTTTTTTTTATTTTTTATTTTTTTTAAACTTTTAGAAAGTTGATTTGGGGTTAAAATAAAATATAAGAAAATAAAGAGGGAAAAGTAGGAAAAATTAAAGACATATCCACATATACATCGATGTCTCTCATATCTATGTATGCTAAATTTATATTCATATATACATAGTAAATAAAAGTATATTAAAAAAATATATAACTAATTTTTAATTTTTTTTTTCCGTATTCCCACTGTGTCCATATCCTAGTTGTCACTCTTGTGAAACCCTTGCATATACAGTAGTCATGTGCTGAGATGATTATACATGATCTTACCATGAATTTGGTATCATGTGATGGAGACTCCTCAAAGTGGGAAGTGTTTTACTGTATTTTATGAGAAAACGCTATACTTTAGGAGAACGGTTGTATTTTGAATTGTCAAAATTTTTACACTGTTTAAATTTGAATTTATATTGGTATCTTTGTCTTTTCTTTTTTCTTGGCACTTCATTCTTTATCTTAGGCAACATAATTTTGCCTTTGAAGTTGTAAACTGGCTTAAAGTATTCACAAAGTGTAATAATATATCATTGCACTTTTAAAAATTCAATCCCTTTTAATAAAGGCCAAAAAGTATGTGGCAGATGCATAATAATATCATTTGCTGACGTTTATTTTTGTGCTGCAGAAACTCAGTATCGATTGTATGTCGATTATGGCAAGACCTATCTTCCCCGTCTAATCAACGCAGCTGTGAGCTCGGAATTGTTCTTTGCAATTGCTGATCACAATGTCACAGTTGTAGGAATGGACAAACTGTGAATGCACTACTCACAGCAAATCACCCTCTTGGTTACTACTATATGGCAATTAGACAATATGTTACCAACGGTTATCCCGATGTTTATCCTCCTAATACAGCGATTGTAGAGTACAGAGGCAACTATACTCCCCCATCTTCCCCTGTCTTTCTCTCCAAGCTTCCTTCTTACATAAACATCACTCAAGCAAATGCGTGTTTGGCCCGTCTAAGGAGCTTAGCCGGCAAAGAACACCCTGTATCAGTGCCAATAAACATAACTCACCCTATGTATATAGTTGTTTCCGTGGCAGGGATCCTTTGCAACAAGAGTCAATGCGAAATTGGAATGCAGATGGGTTCGGCCACGAACAACATGACCTTTCTAAACCCAAGTACTGATGTACTGCTCGCCTACTACCGGTATGCTCCATTGTTCTTTTGCCTTGTACTTTCTTTTTTTCTCTCCCATATATATCTATATTTTACTGTTACATTACTACAACAAGCATGGGGCAATGAAAAGGAATCTTAAATTAATTCAACATAATTTGAAAATGCTAATTTTTACGTGAGGTAATATTTTTACTTGTCTCATTTGTGTGGCTTACTTGTGATTTGTGGCTTGACCATCTTTTGGCTGCATGTGTAGTCTTCTTTTATTTTGACACAGCTTTTCTTTCTCTACAGCATTAAATATATATATATATATATATATGTATATATTATTTGTTTATTTAAAGGGACAACTTGAGCTCATGGACAACACAAGCTCAACTTGGGTTTAGATCTTTTAGTCTAACTCTACCAATAGCAACTTCACAGTTCTTCTGTTCTGTCACCACTAATAACTATTTTTTTTTTATGCCTCTATGCAGAAACATATCTGGGGTTTACAGTGCTGATTTTCCCGACTTCCCATTGAACTATTATAACTTTACAGGTGATAATTTGCCGAATAGCACTGCTATACCAACCATAGCAACCATGGTGAAGATGTTGAACTACAATGAAACAGTGCAAGTAGTGTTCCAAGAAAGCAATGTCCTGCGCGGAGCAGAGAACCATCCAATGCACATGCGTGGATACAGCTTTTATGTGGTTGGGTCAGGGCCTGGGAATTACGACAATGTGAGCGACCCGAAAACATTTAACTTGGTTGATCCACCGCAAGTGAATACCTTTTGTAACGCCCTCAAATTAATAACATTAAACCGGCCAATATAGACATACATTGATATATAAAAGTTCCACATTCTTCTATTCATTAGAGTTTCATTACAAAAAGTATTACATGTTAACGACAAAAGCAAATGCCCTAAAGGCTTACAGCTTTCCAAGTTAACACTTGGTACAACAAAAGAGTACTAACTCATTTACACATTAAGTCATTGGCTTGAATATACATGTAATACATCAAAAGAGAAAAGACAACTAAAGTCTGCCCGCCTCTAGCCTCCCAAGCTACGTCCTTGGAGGTGGCATGCTACTTGTACCTAAAAATGATATTCCCATATAGGGTGAACCACAGCCCAGTAGAAATACACTAAACCAAATATGAACAATGACTAAAAGATTAGCAGTTTGATAGATGGCCAACACTGATACTTTCTCTTATCACGCTTTACAGTTTCATGACATACAAGTCCATGTTACAATCCATTTTCCAATTCCTTTCAATTCTCAATTTATAACCCTGGCTCAGAACTTGGCCAAACAACTCATATGAGATAGTAACTCATAAGCATACAAGCTATATCATCACTTCCATAGATATGCATAAGAGCACTATCTCACTTCCAAAGACAAGCATATGAGCTATGTCAACACATCACTAGATAAGCATATGAGCTCTATCTATGGAGTCCATCCCCTATCTTCTCCCAAACAACATCCGGTTTAGAGGTCCATCCCCTATCATCCCCTAAACCGTGGAGTACATCCCCTATCTCCTCCAACACAACACAATGCATATAAACAATAATTATACACATCATCAACCAATACATAACATTTAATGTATTCATTCAACCGTGATACTCAATGACACATTCCGGTGATTAGTTTTAGTTTGCCTAATCATCATGCATTGTCTACAACAATCAAGACTATCCTCTACCGATAGCCCAAAGCAGTTATTTCTATACAGAATATAAATGCAACAAATGGATATAAAATCAACATTTCCAACTAGGTGAATGATATAAAATCCAACTACACCCTTTAATCCCACACATCCCAATCTCAACATTTCCACTTCAATTCGTCATTTCTCACAATTAATTTTACAAATTAATTAACCAATGTAATTAGAGTATTTTTCATAATTAACATTACAACCCTTAGGTTCCATTTTCATTAATGCTTTGACATTAATTCCACTTTTCCATGCCAAACATGCATCTAGGCTTTTCTATAGTTAAAACCCCAATTTTATAAATTTGCACAAAAGTCCCAAACTTTCACAAAATTACCAACCCAACTCCAACATTTCAAACTACTAAAATTTAAAGACAAAACCCATAGTAAGGAGTAGGTTATCCCTACCTCAAATTCGGAGCTCAAGGAAAGAAGGTGACGAAACTCAACGTGCTCCAAAACTCGAAATTTTCGGATCAATGTAAAGCCCTCGACGATCAACCCAACTTTTGTAAAGACCAAAGGTGAGGAATACACCCTAGCTAGATCAATACCTAGAGAGAAGTTGAGGTTCTAGTGAGAGGAGCTCTCAAATGGAGGTTTTGAAAAGTAAGAGAGAGAAAAGGAGTTGAAAAAGTGATCCAAAAGTCGGATCTCGGATCACTCATATATATATATATATATACACATATCAGATAATTTATATATATATACCCCTCTTAAAAGTTTTGTAATTGTTGAAGAGATTATAAATACACTTAAATAAAATAAAAATAACCAAACATCTCATGTGAGTATATCAAAAAGGAATAATTCATTAATATCACATTTGAAAAAAAAAAAAAAAAAAAAAAAAAAAAAAAAAAAAAAAATCAATTTTAATTTTGTCAAAAAGTGAATAGTGACCAGTCAACCAATCAATCAATTTTGTCAAAATAATACAACTAATCAATTTTAAATTTTTCAAAAAGTGAGTAGTGATATTTTCAAAAAATTCCTATTTAAATAATATTTTTAACAAATATATCATACAACCTATATTTTAAACAGATTATATTTTGTGTCAAATAATATAGAGTACGTATAAAAAAAATCCAAAATTTTCAAATAATCTTTTAGACATCATCAAAATTAAACAATATGATTAACAACCAGCAACTGTAACACCCCAAAATTATAATTATAATTATAATTATAGATAACCTCATAACCCATTCCTTAAGACAATATTAGCAAAACATTCTCTTTCATTAATTCTTTTAATGTAGTACAAAGGTGACATCACATGCATTAACACATTCATTGACCCGAAGCTATGAATATATAGCATGTGATGGATATACATAGGACGAACAAGAAAGGAGAAGTTCTTGTCCAAAGGGCTATATATTTCTAAGACGATACTTGGTTATAATAAAAGTGGGTTAAGCCCAATACAAATAAAAAGTCGGGGTTTGTACAAAAGATATTTACAACGCAAATAAATGAGCTTTCAAGTCTAAGATCCTCCCAAGCTAAGTCCTTAGCGGAGGCATACCATCAGTACCTGAAAGTTGGTTTCTACATAGAGTGAGCTAAAACTCAGTAGAGATTATTTTAATACACCTCATAATGCTTAACAGAGTCATATGGTGAATGCACATGAATGTCATTTACCAAAACGTTGTATTTTCCTCTTTCAAAATGATACAATGCCATGTTTATAAATCAATTCATAAACTGATACTTTTAAATCAGAAAACAGGGTAGTTGATACATAATACTGGGAATCTCTAGGTATGTATCTGCCAATAGGCTATACAACCACTATCAAAGCCATTTTACCGGTACTAATCGGAAGGTTCAACACCTAACCGCACGGGTTCCTAGACTTTCACCAAGGACACACAGGCCAACATAGATAATACCACAACCACATTTCCTAACCAGACTCACCAAGGTATTCACCAATTTTTTTCTCAAACGATACATTTTCAATGTATAAATATGAAGCGATATTCAATGCAAAATGTATGAGTAGTTGGTTTCAATTAACCTAATCCTCATGCAATTTCTACAATAATCAAAGCTATCATCCACTAATAGCCTAAAACAAATATCTTTATACAAGAAATAAATTATAACCAACAGAAAGAAATTTCAAAATTTCAATATAAGAATAACTATACATATTTCATTCCACTTTCCAACTCAACAAGAATCCAAACATATCCCCATCATTCATATCCTTATTCAAAAACAATGATTTCTAAGATTTTCTAACAAAATATCTGTTTCCTTTAAAAATTCATTTAGAATAGAGATTTTCAAGATTTCAACTCAATTCATCAATACAATTATTCCCACAGCATTTCTTATGAACTCATTTGAAAATCCCTCTTTTATACTCCTAAAACCAACCCAAATCAAATCCTAAATCAAGTTCACAACTCCCAAAACACTACTCTTTTCAAGAAACACATAATAAGATTAAATACCATACAAGATGCTAAAGAAATCCCTATATCAAGGTATGAAGAGAATATGAATAATTCCAAAAATTTGACAGAGACCAAAGCTTGAACTTCTCCGATTAAAACGTTTACCTCTACGAGCTCTACACTTTATCCCAAAACACCAGGATGGTGAGATTAGCGGATTAGGGTGTATGGGAAGGTTTGTGTGAAATTTTAAAGAGAGAGAGAGAGAGAGAGAGATTTTGGCTAGAGAGCTTTTAGAGATAGAAAAATCAATATGTGAAAAAAAAAAAACCTCTTTTCCCCGTACCTTTATACGCACAGATCGCTCGAGCGAATAAACCAAACTCCTAGAACATCAACCCTATTGAACAAATCGCTCGAGTGAAGAATGCCCCCCTCTTAGAAGTTCAGACTTGAAAACACAAATTCTGGGAGAAAGGAAAGACTGCTCGAGCGAAGAAATGACAGCTGGAGTGAACTCTACAAGACAAAATTCATTTAAAACACTAACTCCCAATCTGTTCAAAACCAAATCTAACAACTCCAAACAGCCAATCCCAATTAACAAGAAGACAAAAATGAGTATAAACAACAACAATAAGTACCTGATCCCGAATCAAAGAATATAAAAGAGTCAAGCCTTAACCCAAGTCACTATAGCAACCATGCGGGTTGAAAAAATTGGACCTACAACCGCCCGCAATGCGGTTTGCAATTTGTGTGGGGGGTCAATCGGGTGTACATGTGGGTGCATTTGGTTGTGCGGATTGACATTTTATTATAATAATAATAATAATAATAATAATAATAATAATAATAATCGAGCTATTCATGAAGCTCAATAATTTGTAGCTCATTCAAACTTGTTCGATTACTAAACAAGTCAAACTTGCGCTTTACTTTCAAGCAATTTTTATTTGTAAATTTACAAATAATTAATACATTGCTTATTGCTTAAAGGAAATTGATAGGATGAACACACTTTTATAAGAGTTAAGAATTGTTCAAGTATTCTTTCTTTCTTTTTTATTTATTTATTTTATTTATTATGTGGAACAACCACAGGTACTTAAATATACATATATATATATATATATAAACAAACATGATTTGGTCTTAAATTTTCATTTCTTTGCATAGCACATTGTTTTTTTAGTGCTTATAGGCACAAAGACTTTATATAAGTGGGAAAAGATAATGAAGTTGAGATAAAAAGGTTAGAGAAAATGAATAACCCATGTAGGAGGTTAGAGAATTTTTATTCATTTAATAATGCGGGCGGATTGAGTGTAACCCGCACGCCCGTAACCCACAATTTTATCTGAAACTCAACCTACATCCAACCCTACCTATCTCTCGATAACACCAATACCTTACAGTTAGGGTGGGATTGGGTGAAACTGGCATGTTGACTTGTAAGATGAAATATCATTTTGCCCCTCACACTTTTAAGCGTTTTTCAATTTGACCTCCACATTTCATATAATATCAATTTGGCTCCTACCATCAGATTCTGTTTACAATTATATAGAATTTACTGACGTGACATCAAATTTCATTTGGAATGAATTTTATTTTACCCTCCAA